AATTTACTTATATTTAGATTTATATTTGTAAATAACCCCTCAATTATATACCCACACGATTGTATTTACTAACCCACACACATATATCTATTATAAATATTTACTCAAATATACAAGCGTGAATTGTTATCCAGATTTCTAATAGTTTTTATTTTATTTGGCACACCGGCACACTCACGTCGATCACCCCGACACCAAGATTGCAAAGATGGTTAATTAAACTAAGTGAATAAAATATTAACATAAATTACGTGAAAGGAAAGGAAAATAACGTAGCCGATTTTCTAGGTTGAACAGATAGTAACATAGGCGAGATTCATTCATTGGAAGAAAACAACATAAGCACAAATGCTACAATCCACTCTCAAGAGGAGGAACTAAATGATCATTTTCCAATTTTACATACTATTGTAAATCGCTTCAATACACAAATCATTTTAACAAAAACGAAAATTATGGAATCTGAAGAACTAGGCAACACGAAGTAAATTTTTATTAGCGCAAAAGATATAAAAAATAATAATTTTCTTATTTAACCGATAATCAGTACAATATAGTTTAGCAAAAGCTTATTCAAATATTTAATAGACAGGTAAAGTTTTTTAGATGTGAATTCCATGCTAAATATATGAAAAATGAAGAACAAGTTTATAGACAAATTGCTCAATATCATAAAAATGAAACAGGCCATGCAAGTATTAATGAAAATTATGAAAAATTTAAAAAACTAATATTCTGGAAAAATTTTAAAGTTTTGATTCAAAAATATATAAATAATTGCGATGTTTGCAATAGAGCAAAATATAATAGAAAACTTTTAAAACCATTCATTTATATCTGATGGTGTTTTAAACTTCAATATATAAAATTATGCGCCTTAAAATATAAAGGAAATTTGTTAATGTTCTTGGTCAAAATCCCAAAAGAATTTCAATCGGTACAATTAAAAAGTATTATTCCTATACTAAATACAGCAGGCAAAGAAATAACAGCAGAAATTGAAAATGTTTTTAAATACAAAAATGTCACTTATAAATTCGAAGAAGCTAAAACACTCAATGARCTACAAATTTCTAAACATTACATCTACTTATTAAATTGTGAACTTATCAAAAATAGCATTACAGAAATTTTTCAAATTGATGAAGAAACTATTTTAATAAAATATGCAAATGGCATAGAACTAAACCAGAACTGCGACAACAGAAAAATTAAGTCGAAAAACACTACATTGATTCATTATAATAACTGCACAATTAAGATCCTATACCAAACATTCTCAAATACTAAAATATCATACAATCAAATATTTTATTATCCAAACTATGATACTCACAATTTCATTAACAAAATTACAATTAACGACCTTGTATTTAAAAACGAAGAAACGACAAAAATATCTTTCATATTGGAATATCAATTTTAAGTTTTATTGTGATCATAATAATAATTTTAATATCTTGTAAAATTAAAAAAAAAAAAGAAAAACAATACTATTCAAACTCAGGAGAGTTTTCCATTAAGGGAGGGAGGAGTTATATGTACACTATCATCCCAACCAGACACCACACAACAAAATATTGTAAATTGGACCAAATAAAAGATTAAAGAAAAACAAGTAAACATTACAAAAAATAAGATAACAAGTAGAGATAAAGAACCTAATGCAAATGCATGCAAAAATGTTTTGGTCCTTATGTTTGACTGTAATGATAACCCAGACATTATCGGGTAAACCACACAATCATGTTTGTTTGCATTCAATAGAAAATAAGATTACATTTAACAAATATTGTGTTTCATAAGAAAAAAAAAAACAAAGAAATATATTAAGAAAATTGTAATCGCTTTAGTAGTTATATAAGCAGAGCATAATTTGAAGACAGAGAATAAAATATAATGTCACAGAAGGAACATCGTCGGCATTTTTATTTACTCCTCCGCTCGAACAACTAAAACTTGTGCGCGTACGGACTGGATTCAGTATAGGGCGTTGTTAGCTAACGAACGAGCGGTCAGTTGTCTCCGAGCACCTGGAGAGTCAGGACAAACATTTTCGCTCGACGTATTCCGGTGGTGCAAGCCGAAAATGCTGCGTTCATTAGAGTAAAGGTGCGCGAATAGATTATTTTTGAAACTCGGTGAATATGCGGCAGAAGCGTTTGATATGATAAAGTAAGCTTTCTCAGATGTTTGTTTAACAAGAAGTGGTGAGTTTCGGTGGCATCAGGCGTTTTTGGAACAAACAACAAAAAATTTGACTTGAGATTTCTAGGGAGAAATACATAAATTACTTTAAATGAAAGCAAGTATGGCTAAGGAAGGATGTAAGAATACATTTCATACTCTTGCAACTTGCACAGATCAAAGTTGGCTTATTATATTACGAAAGCATTACATGTAGTATAATACCTCTAACTTCAGATATATTCGGTATTAAACTAGAGTATACCCAGTATTATACTATTTTACTAAAAGTGTTTTCTTTTCTCGACAAAAATGTTGCCTCATTATAAAAGAATTATACGTGCAGTTTTTTTTCAGTGTATGTCGTGAATTAGTAATGGTAATTTTTTTCCCCCCAATATGAAGTATTCGTCGTTCACATATTTTGTTTGTATATAATGTTTAACATTATTTCATTTGTTTCATTTGAATTACCGTTAATTGAAAATGTCATTGCGATTTCTATTTTTCATAGAAAATAATTATGTGTGCAAATTCATCTATTTATGCTCTGGTAGCTGAACAGACAAATAATAAAGATTGTTTTTTTAACTAAAGTGAAAAATTGGAAAATTAGTAAGTTATAARTATTAAATATAGTGCGTAGAAAAATAATTTATTATTTTGGAATATTTATATGTATGTATAGTTGAAAATGCCACGTGGTACAAAACTATCGGATGAAGAGCGGGGTAGGATAATTGGAATGCACAAAGCCGGCATAAGCATTGGACGAATTGCTGTGTGAGTGAACGGATATCGTAATACAGTTTCAAATAATTTGAAAAATCTTCAAAATTCTGGTGTCATAAAGCGTACTGGTCGGTTACCACCAGTTGATAAGCGGATCAATGAGAGATACACGACATCCTATCACTATAAGCGAAACTATAACAGGGGATCTTTAATGGTATGAACTGCCTTTAGTTTTAAAGGCAAATCATATGTGATTTTTAACTACTAAAGTGAATTCGGAAGTATTCATTGATCTACCTGATAGTGGGCTCATTCCTTTTGCTGAGTATTTTCATGACAACAATTGGATATTTCAGCAAGACAACGCACCTATTCATGTGTTTCGCGTTACGAAAGCATTATTTCAGTCCTGGAATATCCAATTATGGGATTAGCCAGCTTTGAGTCCTGACCTTAACCCCATAGAGGACCTTTGGTGTATACTTACTGCTAAAGTATATACAAATGCCAAGCAGTATGATACTATTAAGCAGTTAAAAAGTGCCATTGTGTCAGAGTGAGAGAAAATTGAGCTAACTACTCTGCAAAACTTAGTAGGCTAAATGCCACGAAGACTGTGCATGGGAAAACTGTAAAAGGATAATACTATTACGTACTAAAAATATTTAAAACATCAATTGCTTAAAGTTTTTTTATATATGCGTGTTAAAATAACATTGGATATAAATTTTAAGAGATTTCTATTTTGCACATATAAT